ATGGATTGCTAGTGCCAGCTCGTTGATACATCAGTCTCCTAAGTTACACAATTATTACAGGTTTCAAGAGGTACATTGTCTAAAGTCATGACAGGATGCAATATTCTGAGCCAAACATGCACATAATTGTGGGAAGAAAACAAAAATTACTAACATAAACATAAGGCTATAAAAGAGGACTGTTATATCAAAAAAGAAAATCTACTACAAAAGTGAAAGTACAGCTTAATATGTACCTACAGAACAAACTTTTGATATCTACAATATGAAAGAATATTGTGAGCAGATTATCTGAACTTTAATCTCAAAACTCTTATTTGAAAAATATATGCAAAAAGAGACTGGAGATGTGTTAGGAACATAAAACATGGAATGGTCATCAGCAGGCGATCCATGGAAACAAGTACTGTTTTCAGACTAAAGAAGAGTTAATTTGTCGAGAAAATCAACAAATTAATATCCAGACTGTTTTCTTTCTATAGTAAAGCAATCTGGTTCAATATGCTCTGGATAATTATACCATGACCCACCTTATTAGAAAGAATAAATAACTACTATTTTAAGCAACCAAAATTTTTCAATGGAACTTACACTGTTATTTATACATAACGATATTTTTCAATACGATAATGTCTCCATTTACCACAGTCAAGTTGTTCAGTAGGTTGAAGAACATGAAAATGAAATTACATTTTTCATGGGCAGTGCAATCAAGATTTAAGCACTTCTGAACCAGTGATCTGGCTGAAAAATAGAGTTATATCTCATTTTCCTCTCCCATCATCTCTCATAGAACTGAAACAGTTTCTGAGATAAGAATGTTGTAAAACACTGATTACCATCATTCAGGACTTATATGCTTTAATTACAAAACGATTTCAAGGAGTTTTGGATGTCAAAGATGCTACTCCTACAATTCTACACAATTTTATGCATTAATTTTATTCTGAACAAACTCTATAAAATTACAGAAGCTCTTAAAACTCTAAAAATAATATGAAATGGGGGAGAAATGAAGCATCTACCCCTGCCATCAAGTAAAAAAAAAAATTTTGTTTTAATATGTGTGCATGCATAATATATTCAGCCCCCCCCACACACACACACGTACACGTACACAATGGCATACCATAACAGTCCACAGATGTTGGATACTACCAACACCAGAAGCGGTGGTCATTTTATTATGGAGGCACCTAGGTTGGTCACCTTTGCCTCCTATTAAGGGGGATGGACAAATACAACCATGCCTTCTCTGGGATTCACACTCGTTCCCTTTTGGTATCACAGTTTGCTCTTCTAACCACTATACTGTCTAGTCAGCACATGTACATATACAGCATAGTATATGTGATTTCATGCTGATGCAGTACTGTATTTAAAATATACTTGTGAATCCCTACTAGGCAGCCACCCAATCGGTATAGTGGTCAGGGAAGCTGACTGCGATGCCGAAGGGCCTGGGTTTGAATCCTGGAGAAGGCATGGTTGACCCTTCATAGGAAAAGCAATGGTGGCCCACCTATTAGGTGCCACCATAATAAAGAGACCACCACATCCAGCCTTGTATAGATTAATGGACTGAGTTACATTTATAATTGTTCGCAATCTGCCAGTGGAAAAAAAAAAAAAAAAAAAAAAAAAAAAAAAAAAAATCCCTACTAGGTACATATTTAAATAAAAATCTATTGATGTAATTATTTGTCTTCCACCTATACCCATAAGGAAAATGTTTCGTTGATGGAAATTTCTCTATTGGTTTCTTTCTGAAAATTTTTATTTTTCCAGTATTTTGAAGAAATTACTAAAATGATATCATGAGCTATATACATGACATGTAGAGCAACAAAAAATTGATGCAATAGGTACGTAACTTGATTACACAACTGTGCATTCATCAGATCAGCACAGAATACAAAACATTGTTACATTTATGATGCAATCAATTATTCAGCTTTGATCTTAGTGTTTTCATTATGTCAAAAGTGTATTAAAAATTTAATGACTTAATTTTTGGAATATGAAAGCCAAAAACCATTTTTAAAAGAAATTATATGAAATGGCATAATTTTAGTTCGTAATATTACTTTTTTTGAAATGTATTATGATTATATTATGAATTTTTTCCTTATTTAATTATAATCTGAATACCAAATTCATAATTTAATTTTTAAATACAAAGCTAAACTCTGTGCATTATTTTGAGGCTTAAGAACATATACTTCAACAAAAATTCTATATTTCATGTGAAAATACTAAAATATTCATGCCTTAGTTTTTCTCTGGCTAACTTAGGGATACTTTTCTGTTTTTATTTAGAAACAAGCCCTTTCTCATCATAAAAAATAGTCAAAATAAAGTTTACCCATTACTTTGTTTACAAAAGTGCTATAAATCTTACACTGACATCTCAACATAAACAAAAAAATAGAATGTATGTTATCTTAATGTATTGTTTTCTTTTTTTTTTTTTTTTTTTTTCCTGTCTATCCCCTTTTTTTAACCCTTTTGTATTCTATTTTTAATAGAATATATTTGATAGCTTTTTAGGGAGAACCGATTGAAAGAGCTGTTAAACTGAAATTTTAAATACATTTCTGTTTTATGTTTTTGATGGCTTTAAATTTATTAAAATTCCTACAGCTCAGAAAATAAAAGATGAAATAGTGTGAAATTTTATATTTCTCACTAATTATACAGGTAAATAAGCTAGAGTTTTTTTTTATTAAATTATGAATTCTTCATGCATTATAAAATTTTGGTGTGTCATAAAGCATTTAGAAACAGTAATTTAAAAAAAAATACAAAACATCCAGATTAGAATAAAGTTTTAGATTACTTTTTAATGGATTAAAAAGCTTTAAAATAAGATATTAAATGAAAGATTAGATGTACAAAATAGTAATTTATATAAATTTTATTTATTTAGTTAAAAATTATCATTTTAGAAAAAAATTATTTCCCATTATTATTTTTTTTTATCACTGGACTAAACACTGACAAACTAATAGGGGAAAACTTAATGGCAATCTCCACTGAAATTTTTCAGGAAATTAAGTAATTGAATACTTTTGTGTACTTAATACAAAAAAACATGACATAATAAATGATATTATGAAATTCCAGTTTACTTTTCTCTAATTGCTTATTGTGAAATATACATCTAAATCATTTAAAAAAAATTATGCAAGATTTGCAAAATAGAAAAATTCTGAAAATATGTGTAAGGGTATATATATTGTTAACAATACATATTATTTCTATTATGTTTCAAAAATAAAGTTGTGGGGTTAATACATTGGACTGAAAAAAAAAAAAAAAAAGTGTTTAGATTAGCACAGTTTTTCACATGAAGTACATCTGCACAGTACAGTAACTTTTGAATTACACTATTTATTTCTGAAGGATCAGTTATACATTTAAAGTAATATAATTACATCCCTAAAGACATTAGTGAAAAACAGCTCATTAAAGATGGGGAGGATAAGCTGAAAGATGAGCTGATAAAATTGCACAGGAGTAAAATACATTCATCATGAAAAATATCACAACAGCATCTTTTTATCTTTCTTTTCAATAGCAGCAATTTTTTATTGAGCACTATTTAAAATACTGACTTAACATTTGAAAAACTTGATCTGAACTTTTTAAATTCTCTGACTTTGGGCATAAAATTCCAGATTTTCCAGGAGAGTGGAAATACTGCAGGTATATTTAAATGTAATTTTCAAGTCACAAATATCTGCAAAACAATTAAATACTTATTTTTAAAGAAAAATCAAATTCAATATTTTAAAGAGTACTTTTTTAATAACACATTTAAATTTAAATAAATTATTCCACAAAAAATTGCTCAAAACATTTTTGATTTTAAATTTTGTGTTGGAAAATATCTTGAATTTAACTGAAAGCAGTACAATTTCATTGCCACATTTATAGTTTATCTCCTTTATTTCACATTTTGCAGTCATGTATAATTATAGAACTATGTTACTCTTCAAAATGTCCATAATTTTAACTAGTAAACAAAGTATCTACACATTATAAACAAGTTATAATACTACACACTACTTGTACAAATTTTATGGTAGCCAAAATTTATTGGGATTCAAGACATTGTAATCAGGTTATTTTTGATAAGTTTACTTACTACCCATATCGAGATGATTTAAAAAGCTGCAAAGATACTTAACATTGCCCAAAATGATGGCACTATGTTACAAATTTATGATCTAAAAATTTAATTACTACCTTTTGACCTATAACATATTTTCTTTGACTTAACTAAGTTATCAAAAATTAAGGAAGTGTTTCAATTCATATCATTTGTTTCTACTATTAATACCTGTTCCTTTCATAATGGATTTAAAAAAATTGTCTGTTTGTCTTTATATTTTGCATGAAGTAAAAACATTCCTGAAAATAATAAAATTAGTGTCTTTACATATGAAGAAAATAAAATATTTGGATGTAAATTTCACAGAATTTTTTTCCCTACATATATCACCTCTTTTGTGGTCACCATTTATTTTTAAAAAATATACATATGAAGAAAATAAGATATTTGGATGTAAATTTCACAGAATTTTTTTCCCTACATATATCACCTCTTTTGTGGTCACCATTTATTTTTTAAAAATAATTCTATCTTTTCTTAATCATACTCAGTAATAGCTCTTACATATTTAACATAATGGGGGGGCAACAAATTACCTAGTGAAAAACTGTATTTTTTACATTTTATGAATTTTATATAAAAATGTACTCTGTTTATATATGTCAAACTAACAACCACAGAGGTTCTATTTCATTTGTAGGATGAAATAGGGGAGTTTATAAAACTCAGCAAGCTTCATTTTGACAACTTTACAACACTTAGATAAACAAGTCACATGGTACATACAACTTTATAGCAATCAGATAAACAAGATAAAACCTTCAGTTTTTTCACAAATGCATACAACATGAAACATTACTGAAAATTTAAATGTTCAACTTACCTGTCATATTCCTTGTTTTCAAGTTCACAGCGTGGATCCTTTAATTCTTTCCACTTTTTACCATGTTTACAAGTCGTCAGAAGTATAATATCCTTCCCATTATGAAGGTGGTACAAGGAATTGCGGGTTTCAGACCCGATACCATACAGGTACCGCTTTCCTTTAAACACAAGAAGATATTTTTTAGTAGCTGGTAAGTCACCAGATCCCACATATCCTCTATCCCCGCCCCTCTCAGGGTGGGATTTTGAAAACAACGGAACGGACACATCAAATTTCGGTCTAAAGTTCGCCGTGGACATGCTGGCTTTGGCTAAAATTGCTTCTCCAATGTCGAAGCCGAGATTCTCGGCATAGTCCGGCCACGTGCCGGAATATAAATTAAATATCACATGGTTCCGACCATTGTTCCAGTATTTGACTTGGTCCAACTTGCTTTGCAAGTCAGAGACGTAGTCCGGACTCAGATTGTCCCGGTCCAAAGTGTCAATACCCAGCACAAAAAGACACGCTTGACTAGGATCCGAAGTGAAGTACCGTGAGTCCCGGATTACGTTCAGGATCTTCTGGTACGTGGGGGATATGGGCTCGTCCACAGGATACACGTACACTTTGAAATCCTTCTGGCACCGCGAGAGATCGAAGCACGTGTACAGGGTGCAGTTGCCGGATTTGTAGGAGGCGCGTCGCTCGCTACGCCGCTGCGAGGGCGACACGATCAGGTCTTCGTCCGGATAGAAACGCAAATCGCCCGGTCCATCAGCGTCCGTGTAGGAACGTAACTTCTTCGGATTGTTGTCTCCCGGCAGCTCGCCGCCATGTTGCCGTAAGCGGAACGCACCGAAGTAACACAGGACGAGGAACGCACAGCTCATCAGAACTAAAACGTAGCGTTTCTTCGCTTGCATGTCGCTACGCTACGCCCCGATCATGTTCGTTGTCGCGCCCCGTTGTCTCTCAGCTTCAATCAGTAGTAATACATCCCTGGGTTGTGTCGACGGGACTCTTTCCTCTCTCGACTTTGCTGAGCCCATCTTGCTGCCGCCATGTGCGTTAACTGGCTCAAGCAATCGCCAGAGCGCACACTCCCAGCGTGGGCTAAACCACTCTTATCGTAGGGAAGGCCGCTAAGAGGGGAAGAGGGAGGAAGAAGGTGATCGTAAACTGACGACAAGGAGTCTGCGCGCGTTTCTCCTCGTTCTTTACACCCTCGCAGCGACGTAAAAAAGCATTGACCTGATAGTGAAATTTTAAATGCCGTTTTTCGCTGAGCTTAAAAGGTTGTCCTTTTTTTTTCTGAGCTTTTAATCAACGCCGCGCTTATCAGCTGTATTTTTCAATGATATATACATATATATATATATTTATAAATTATATATTATCTTTTTTATTTCTGTTTTAAATTATAAGCTGCAATTTTCTCGTGTTGCACTGTATTTCATTTTCATTTCTTAGCACAGAAATGAACTCTTTAGATAGGATGCATTAGCAAATAACAGAAATTTTATCTAACTAATTTTTTAAATTTTCAAAAATACAGTTTATAATAATAATAATATATAGAAAGAAAAACCATCTAATTTCAGTTAAACTCAGACAAACCTCAACCCTGTACTAAAGTTGTAGAGACATTAGGTATTTTTTGTAAGCAGGAGAGATGAAAAATTAACAAAGCCTTCGCCGGGAATCGAACCGCTGACCTCTGGAATACTGGCTCAGTATGCAGGCCACCACACCACAAAGGCTCGCCAAGAAGGTGGGAGAAATACCCTATAAAGTTGCTGTTAATTATACTTGATATATAATCGTCTAATATTAAGCAGATATAGTTAAAATATGTTTTTAAAAAATTCAGTCAATAATCTTAAGATTGCAGTCAAACACTTCAAAAAACAATATATCATTACAGCTTTAAAAATTTAAACAGTATAAAACATCATATTTTTTAATGTCTTCTGCACTAATTATCTAATATAACTTTTATTAATTAAAACAAATCTTAAAATATTTTTTTAAAAATTGTCATTCTGACGTATCAGGAACTAAATGTTTTGTAATTTATAACAATGAAATACATTACTAAAAATATGAAATAAATACTGAACTTGTGAAATCATTGCTTTTAAATGTTCACCGTTTTTAAATTAATCGATTTTTTTACTAAACAGCATTTGGTTCAATTGAAAGGTATCGAAGATAGAAGCGTCAGACCACTTGCAGCTCACACCTTCATGGGAGGAGACGACAATTTTTTCACTTAGCTCCTGAATCGGTAGTTGTTTATACTTCCAATGCATCTGATTTTGACTGAAGTTCTTCTGTAGCTTGAATATTATTCTTGGTGAATTATAAAACTAATGCTGTGAGATTTTTCGCATTGTGATGATATAGTAGTGTTGTAAATAGGTTGCTTAAGCTGTTGTTGTGTTGCTGTAGTGTACTGCGTTGAATAGTTGTATTAAAATTGTGTTGTATAGTTGTATTGTATTGTGTTGTATTTAGCACTATTGATTGAGGTTGTTTAGTTGTGTTTGAATTTGTCATTGGAATTATTGCTGTAGTGTATCTTCTCATATTGTTGTCATTGATTTGCATTGTCTTGGGTCCTCCTTGAAAGCTATGATCGCTCGTCACGTTTTGCGAACTTGTCCGATTGGATTGTCTTGCTCCTTTTGGTACTTCTCTTCTTCCCCTTTTCTCCGCTTTCTCCTCTGAGATTTTCTCCACGTCCGGATTAATTTATATCAAGTGCCGTTGGGCTTTAATTCTGGAACCGGCAACATTGGTGTTCGCACTAGCTCGGTCAATTATAGAGTCTAAGTCTATGAAAGATAAATTAAAGATCTATTATGTTCTGCAGAATTGCAACAGTATCAGAAGTGGCTGTGAACGAGGGTGCGTGCAGATAAATATCTGAAATTTCGTATTATGGCAACCTTTTCCATTGTGCCTGGAGAAAAAACGCTGCTTCTCAATTTTTACCTGTCTTCGTCCATCCGTTTCTGAGGCATGATGGCACCTACAGATTTTATTTTGCTGAGGCATGACTTTGCATGTTAACTGGAAATAATTCTCTTCCTCGGAGATGTGATAATCATTAATTAGAATTGTTTTTTATAATTTACAATAATTTTAGTCCTCTTTAGTTATATGAAAAATCTAAAATAAGTTCATATTATGGATTACCAGAAACATCTATTTATATGAGAGTTTTCTTTCAATCAGATTTTAAATGCTTGAATTTAAAACTGATTGAATAAACTCAATTCATAGCGCCAGTTTTGAAGTTAAATGTATTTCGGAATTCAAACAGAAAGCTATTATTGTCTTAAAGCAGAAGAATTTCGTGGACTGTTTCTTAACAAAAGAGTAAAATGAATACTGCTGTTGAAATCTGAGACCTGAAATTTTGCGTGATTATCATACTTCCTTTACTTCGTAAAAGAAAGTAAAAATGAACTTTAGAACGAAATATGTCCATCATTAAATATAAGCTGCACTCCTTTTCCCCACGCAGACGACCAAGTTATCAGAACTGGGAGCAAAGCCCGTGAAGTTCCAAATCTCACTGCCATTTATTCAATCATCTTGAAGGGAAAAGGCAACTCCCTGTCTTCCTAGGCATGCGTTCCGAAACTCCTGTTGCAATTAGTTCAATCATTTTAAAGAAGGGAAATGGCAACTACCTGTCTTCCTCAGCTATCTCATAAATTTTCAATAGCTTTAAAGTGTGATGTTCGAGCCTACCAGTTCGTTAATTGAATTTTATGGTCTGTGGTAAGACAATGGTTGACTTCAGATTCTCTTAGCAGTCGAGCATTATTATATGTTAAAATTAAATAAATCACCTACAGCGCCAGCTTGACCTTACATGCTGATTGGAGATCCTTTTACCTCAAAACATTCAAAGGAAATTCATCAGAAAACGCAGGAAAGTCAGTATACAGGATGTATCAGTACAGCGGCGACAAACTTTCAGAAGAGATAGAGTATACCTAGACGATGGGAAATCACATAGCAATACATGGTCGGAAATGCCTTTCTGGCACGGTAGTGACGACAAAAAAAGCAAAAAAGGAAAGGCACAAACAGTGAGACAAAAAACATTTTATTATGTTTAATACAGTAGAAACCTACAAATAAGAACAAAAACAAACAACGATCATCATTAAAAAAGTGTTCGAAATTACGATCCACGACCGTGATGCAGGCCTCACTTCTCTGGCGCATATCACAGTCCGTGTCGTAATTTCGAACACCTTGTGTGATGATCGTTGTCTCTTTATGTTGTTTTTGATTTGTTTTGGTGGTACTCCGAATAATGAACATGTTTTTTCACTCCGTTCGTGTACTTTCTTTCTTGACTTTTGTATCGTCACTACCACCCCAGGAAAGCGTTTTCGATCACACATTCCTATGTGATTTCCCATCGTCTAGGTGTACTCTATCTTCCTAAAAGTTTGTTGTCCCTGTATTGGTATACCCTGTAGAAGATCAAACTGGCACCGGAAAGTTTACTACAGAAACCAACAGCTGTTGTCCCAATACACTAGCCAGCTAGAGTTTGAAAAATTTGAATTGATTGTATGCTTTTTCTCCTAAGGAAGACTAGAGTTATACATCGGAATTGCTACATTTAAATATAAGAGGGTAATAACATAATATTAGGCAAAATTACATAGCATAACACAAACTGTTGAGTATACTCATTACATTATTGGATTACGTAAATACAAGAGAGTTGATATTTTGGAGATTTTTGCATTTTACTAAAAGCAGATAAACATACGGATTTGATTTTGCTAATACTGGAATATCTGATTCTTGTAACGTGAAGATATTTGGTACAGGTAAGGCTGTACTGAGCTCAGATCTTTCAGTCCGAAGTTCAGAAATAAAGTTCATGGGCTCAACTCAGTACGTTTGATGCTTTAAAGCATTATGGAAATTATTGGTGTTGCTAGGAATCAATTATTGGGGTGGAGCCTTGGAATCAATTATTGCCCTTTCCGATTTTCGTTTTCGGTCCTAAGATGTGGCTTGGCATAAGTCCAGTCCTAGGGCATTGAGCTTTTGATGTACGTATTTTCATGATATTTAACTATAGGTCGCATTAAGATATCACCAGTCTTTTGAAATTAAGGTATAGATTGATGGGTTTTCGGATGTGTAAGTCACTTGGGTAGAAAATAGGTAATGGTCTGCATCTCCTTTGAGCTTCTGATTTCTGTGCTGATTTTTGGAAAGCACTCATGAGTGCGCCGGCCTGTTGTGGCCTTATTCCATTGTTCTTGCCACTTGTGGCTTAGATGTTTGTTTCAAAGAGACTCTATTACATACAGTGTATTACCGATCTGTTTGTTATAAGTGTCCTTTACAATAATATTGACCTGGCCGAATGGGGCTTCTTCCGCCCTCCAGATTATATGACATCGGGAATAATAAGATTCATCTGAGAACGTTATTGAAGTCCCCTATTTTTTGCTCCTTGTGACATATTTCTTTGCTCAAAGTAGTCCAGCTGTCCTGAGTAAACGAGTCAACGAAGTACGCGCAGATGGTTTTCTGGCAAACAGTCCTTGTACCTGAAGCTTTTTATTATCAGTTAAAATGGATAGCATTCTTCCTATTGATACAAAATAATCGACTGAGATGCCACTGCATTAATAATAAAAGGAAAAAATGAATTAAAAAGAAGTCATCAGAGGTTCTTCAAAAAGAAAATCAGACGAAAATCCGGAAATAATCAATGTTGAGACTGCCCTTCTTGAAATTATAGGCTCGTTAATGACAATATAGCTTTAATAGTTTTGTTATTTCCGTCTGTAATAGGCTTTTATTTTCTTTCAGCCAAACACTTGCCTTCTTATTGGATAAGGTAGAGGATTTCCCAAAGATATCCCGCGCATTATTTTAGACGCAAAGTTTAAAAATATGCTAAGATTTCACAAAAAAATGTTTGTTTATTAACATGAACATCACAGGGGATCTACTTCTCTAAAATTAAGCTCATATTTTTACTTCTTTCTACGAAGTAAAAAAAGTATTGTAATCGCGAAATA